CCTGCTCGGCGGGAAGCCTGCTTCTCCCTCTGACCCTCCCCCTGCTTGTGTTCCCTCTCTCGCTGTCTCTCTCTCTCTGTCAATTAAATAAATAAATAAAATCTTTAAAAAAAAAAATACAGTAAATCAGACATTCTAGACATTACCTTTTTAAAAAAAGATTTTATGTATTTATCTGAGAGAGAAAGAAAGAGTAAGCACAGAGAACAGAGGTCAGAGGAAGATGGACAAGCAGACTCCCCACTGAGTAGGGAGCCCCGATGTAGGGCTCAATCCCAGGACCCCAAGATCATGCATGACCTGAGCTGAAGTTGGACACTTAACCAACTGAATCATCCAGGCCCTCCTTCAGACATTAGTTTTTAAATTAAGGAAACAAATGTGTACTGATAAATTTTACAGCCTGTATTCTGGATCTTGCAACTATAGAGGAAATTCGTGTCAATCATAAGAATATCAGGTCCCTGTCTTCAAGAACACAAGGAGAGCATGGAACATTCAACTGTGTGTCTATCTTACCCAGAGACGTCTTAAAAACTGACTCCCGAGCTACCACTATAGTGTCTGAGTCAGTAGGTCTGGGATGTGGGCTGAGAATGAACATTTTTAATGAGCTGAGGTAAAGCTAATGGAGAGGTCAGTGCAGAGATGAAACTGTGAAAACGGGTTATTTAGGGAAGGCCAGGCTGCCTCCCTCCAGGCTCCAGTACAGGAGTCTGTAGATGTACAGACTGTGATGAGCAGCACAGCAAAGGGTTTCTCATGCACAACTGCTGAGTGTCTCTGCAGTGAGCCAAGCAGGGTAAAAGCTTAAAGGGCTGGAGTCCCAGGGTCTCCACTGCAGAACAGTCCACAGGAAGCCACCTAGGCACCTGCTTCTTTCGTGTGGAACTGCAAATCAACAAAGAGGCCACTAGGTGCAGGTGGCTCCAGTGCCCTTCCACCTAGATAGGCAAACTGAAACCTAACATTTATAAATGCCTCAATGTTTTTTGTTTTGTTTTGTTAAAGGTTTTATTTATTTATTTGACAGAGAGAGACACAGTGAGAGAGAGAACACAAGCAGGGGGAGTGGGAGAGGGAGAAGCAGGCTTCCGGCAGAGCAGGGAGCCTGATGCGGGGCTCGATCCCAGGACCCTGGAATTATGACCTGAGCCGAAGGCTGACGCTTGACGACTGAGCCACGCAGACGCCCTATAAATGCCTTAATGTTAAGAAATCAAAACCTAAAAACATCCAATCACACACAGCAAACTATGTTGGGCTTCACACTGAGCATGTAGCCTAGTTAAAATTTAAAAAAGCAAGGGGCCGGGGCGCCTGGGTGGCTCAGTTGTTGAGCATCTGCCTTCGGCTCAGGTCATGATCCCGGGACCCTGGGATCGAGCCCCGCATCAGGTTCCCTGCTCTGCGGGAGGCCTGCTTCTCCCTCTCCCACTCCCCTGCTTGTCTTCCCTCTCTCGCTGTTTCTCTCTCTGTCACATAAATAAATAAATAAAATCTTTAGAAAAAATAATAAAAATAAAAATAAAAAAGCAAGGGGACTACGGGTGGCTAATTCGATTAAGTGTATGACTCTTGATTTTGGTTGGGGTCATGACCTCAGGGTCTTGAGATCCAGTCCTGCGTTAGGCATGGAGACTGGTTAAGAATCTCTCTCTTTGGGGTGCCTGGGTGGCTCAGTTGGTTGGGCGACTGCCTTCAGCTCAGGTCATAATCCTGGAGTCCCAGGATTGAGTCCCGCTTGGGGCTCCCTGCTCAGCGGGGAGTCTGCTTCTCCCTTTGCCCCTATCCCCTCTCATGTGCTCTCGCTCTCTCTCTCATATAAATAAATAAAATCTTTTAAAAAAAAAAAAGAATCTCTCTCTTCCTCTCCCTTTGCTCCTCTCCCCCTGCTTCATGGGCTCTCGCTCTAAAAACAAAAACAAAACAAAAAAACAAAACCAGAGACAGTTTGTGTTTCCCAAATAAGACAATTCCTTAAACTATAGCCAATCATATAACTTCTTTGTTGCTTCCCTTTTTGGTATTCCCCCCTTTTAAGATTTTATTTATTTATTTGAGAGAGAAAGAGAGATAGCAAGCAGAAGCAGGGGGACTGGCAGGTAGAGGGAGAGAGAAGCAGGCTTCCCAATGAGCAGTGAGCCCAATGCAATGTGGGACTCCATCCCAGGCCCCTGGGATCATGACCTGAGCCAAAAACAGCCCCTTAACCAACTGAGCCACCCAGGCACCCCTTTTTTAGATTAGTCATCTCCCTAGTTTGGTTTGGTGTTGCCTGAATGGTTTTGGTGTTTGCTCAAATAAGCTCTTCGAAATTTTCATGTAGCTCACTTCATCTTTTAACAGAGCTAATAAAAATAAAAACCCACAGGACCCATCCTTGCTCAGTGGTGCTCTTATTAATGAGGGCTTCCTTTCTGCCCAGTGGGTTATTACACCAACTACTCTCATCTCACAAAATCACCTCTCGTTTCCATCCCACTTGCCACATTTTAACATTGAATGTAAACTTGAATTTCTGTTTTCATGTTTCCTATGTTTTCCTTGAACATAATACAAGGCATTTGAAGGCAGGACTACTTGTCTTGTGCCTGCATTTCTCCCATGCATCTACCAAAATTTCCTACAAACCCAGTATGTGCTCAATGCACATTTGTGAGACCAGTGAATACACATGACATACCGATTTCTCATTTTAATTCTTATGGGCACTGTAAATGTCCTCTTTACTTCTCTCTCCAAGGTAGTCTGAAAATTAGTAAAGGAAACCACGTTTAAAATGAAGCTCTCCGGGGGCGCCTGGGTGGCTCAGTTGTTAGGCGTCTGCCTTCGGCTCAGGTCATGATCTCAGGGTCCTGGGATCAAGCCCTGCATCGGGCTCCCTGCTCTGCAGAAAGCCTGCTTCTCCCTCTCCCACTCTCCCTGCTTGTGTTCCCTCTCTCGCTGTCTCTCTCTCTGTCAAATAAATAAAAATCTTTAAAAAAATAAAATAAAATTAAGCTCTCTGGGGTGGGGGATGGGGTAGCTGGGTGATGGACATTAAGGAGAGCATGTGTTGTTATGAGCTCTGGGTATTATATAAGACTGATGAATCACTGAACTCTAATTCTGAAACTAATAATACATGTTAACTATATTTAAATTTAAAAAATTAAAATAAAGTAAAATTAAGCTCTCACAAAGGTAGGAATGGTTAATCAGCAGGAAAAAGGAAGATTATTTTTATCTTGACAAGGGAGGAAACTTTCACAGTAGGAATTTAATCTCCTGCTTTTAACAAAAGGAAGAATGAATGCTCCTTGCCCCAGCAACTACACACGAACCAGGGCATACAGCCAATGAATAATTGTGACAACTGGAAACTCTTGTTCTTCAATGAACTTTTATTGAAAGCAAACCTCCCCAGTCTCCTCCTAAAACCTAATGAAAGCTGACTTTTCTTCTGTTTCTTCAGACTTTCCTGTGGTTTGCCCTACCGTGCTTATCCCCAGTTGAAATTCCTCTGTTAATTCCTGAATAAACTTAGTTTGCTAGTAAAATAAGGGCTATTTATTTTTAAGGATGACAGTAGCATTGCTCAATGTTTTCAGGAATGAAAAAGTTACATTTTGGAGATAAAAGCCCTCACAATGACCAGGCATATTGGTGTAGCAGAGTGACGTGCTCAATTTCATTCCATCTTTTCTCAGGCTTCTTAGAGCCTTCTCTAAAAGTTCTCTGAGGTCATAATGTTTTTTTAGCTTTTAATGATGTGTAGGGAGATGGAATGTGGGTTTCGCCATAGCCATTTCTACCATTGTCTTTAAACAACTTGATAAAGGTTAGAAACTGCTTTCCGAAATGTGCATTTTTCACCACTCTATTCTGAGATAACTTCAATTCCTAGAGTGACACTACCGCCAGTGCCTGAAGAAAGAAGAATCAATTCCCAGCAAGAAGATGAGATCATTTGGTTCAGACAACGCTTTATTTCACGGCTCAGATTCTCGCTTTGCACACATGCTCCAAATGAAAATGGCAATATGTGTTCAGTTCCAAAAATAGCATGGGTTAAGTTGCGCTATGTTTGGGATGATGTCAGACTCCTAAAAGGAAGTGAGTACATCTGAGAATATGGAGTAAGAATTATATGGATAAAAGCGTTCCTTCATAGATGGGACACAGTCATTATACAGGCAAGAGAGGTTTAGGGTGGAACCAGAGCCTGACCGCGTCATTGACCACTTCATTCGGGGTGGCCTCCCATCCCTGTCCTTCCCTGTCATGGGCCTGTATGGGGTGTGAAAAGGAAACCACAGGCCCCACATGGAGTCACTTCTGCTAGGCCGGGTCACCAAACCAGCGCATAATACTGAAGCTCACTGCACTTTCAACCTTTCCAGATATTTGGTTCCCACTGCAGTCAGGAATATGCTGGTCAGCACCAAGCAGGTAATCTACATGGATGGGCCCTCTCCATTCCCCAAAGAAAGATGATGGATTCTCCTAATAAGAGGCTTTTGTCCCCACAATCCTCATCTGACATGATTCTTTTTCTGTTTGATATTCTTTCCGTTTCTGTAGCGCTTTGGAGCTGCCCTCTACTTGCTAGATGGGATGCTGCCCAATTCACATATCGATGGATAAAGCCAGTAGACCTTTAGAATGCACTGTGTTGAATTTTTATTATTTAACAGGAAGTCTTCTAAGTTCCTGACAAACTACAAAACTGACTCTAACGCATCCCGGGCGCAAGCATTTAATGAGCAGCAACAACTTTCCAGTTAGAGACTCATTTCTTTCAGAAGTACTTCAAGGGATGATTTGTCATTTACCTCAGCAAAGGAATCTGGGAGTGTCTAAAGTAACAGTTTTCTCCTTTGGAAGCTGACATTCCTGGAATCTGAAAGCAGGGCTCTTCTCTGCCTTTAACAAGGAGCAAATCCGGTCCCTCTGGGGCGCAGCAGCGCTTTCCAGCATCCCTCAGGGTGCCACGTGACCAAAGCTCGCAACTCCAGGGTGGAGGACCCCCTCCCGGAGACCGCCAGAGCTCTGGGAGCCACACCGCCCGGAAGAGCCCCGCTCCGAGCGCAGAGCGAGGAGCCAATGAGGGAACAGCACACGGCGTTTCGAGGCGAGCGCACCCTCCGGGGGCGGGACTTCCGGTCTCGTCCCCCAGTAAGCCTTTCAGCCTCAGGTTGGCTCCGTTTATCCCGTGAGGTTCCGGAGCGCGGGTCGGGGTCCGGGTGACTGATCGTGAAGCCGCGAGGGGAGGCGCCGTCCTCGCCGCACACAGTCGAGTCCGGGTGTCCGCTCCGCGCCGGCCCCGCTGCCGGCCCACCGAGTCCGATGGCGGCGGCCGCGCCCAGGGAGCCGCCTCAGGTAAGCGCTCGTCCCCCGGGCCC